CCTGTCAAACTCGCTCCACTCACGGCTGCTTCAGTCAGTTGCAGCCAGCCCCAGCCTGGCGGACGCCTCCCTAAAACTGCTTTTTTTGTTCTTCCAAACTGGAAAAATGACTTCTAGGGGGAGACGAAAGGCTGGGAATGTTCCCTATCCCCGACATTTCTGCCCCTGCAACCGCCAGGGGCTTTTCCGGGAAAAAGAGAAATCCCAAAAGCTGGCAGTCCCGGGCTCCTGGCAGCCGAACAAAGAAAATCTGCTTTTAACCCAAAAGCAATAAAACCAACCCGACTTCTGTGGCCGGCAAAGCCACAGGCCCATTCCCGTCTCCAGCTCCTGCATCCCGTGGACATGCTGAGCAGGGAATTGCTCCCACCGCTGCATGTTGAACAATCCCGAAACGGGAGCAAGCGGGTGGGAGACGAGGGCCGGAGCAGCGTCTCCGGCACTTCCCCCGCTCGCCGCTATTAAAAAATAAATTATAGAGGACTGAAATTTGGCTGGGTTTAGGTCTGAGCCCGGGAGCTGGATGCAAATTCCAGAGGAGTGGAGACAACCGCGTTTTTTCCTCCTTAAAATAATGCCCTAATGGTATAGGAATAATTTGCTGACTTTCAGTTTCCTGGCGGCCGCCGCGGTCCCGTCGGCCTTGGGGGACCCACTTCGGCGGTCCCGCTCGGAGAAGCGCATCCGGACACGAATCCCTCATTCCCGGGAAACCCAAGCCCGCGTTACGGATAACGCGATTTTCTTCACGCCTCAGAATCGCCCACAAATGTCAGCGCTGAGAACCGAGGGCCAAAGGAAAAGGGCTCGAAGCGCTGGCGCTTCCGGAAAGCTCAGGCACTCGGAGCCGCTCCGGAGGCACCGGAGCACCTGCCCACGGCAGCGCGGCCCCTCGCCCGGCTCCGGCGTGGATGCGCCTGGAAAAACCCAATCCCGCACCCTGGGAGCGCTGTCGAGGAGGGCCAGCACCGACCTGCGCTCCGCAGCCAGGCGCGACGCGATTCCCGCAATTCCTGCGATTCCCGCAATTCCCGCGCTTCCCGCGCCGCCGCGCTTCCCACGCTCCCCGTGCCGCCGTCTGTGCCCGGCGCTCCGCCAACCCTGGGGACTCCTCCCAGGAAGATCCGGTCCGATACCAGGCAAAGGGAAAGGGAGGCTCTCACGCCTGGATGCTGGGGGATCCCATGGGATTGATTTTTTAAAAACTGGAGCAGCCAGAGCCGGTGGTTGGAGCTGGAGCAGAAGCCCCCAAAGCCCCACGAGTTTCCCTAGTGTTCCCGGTTTGGGCACGGAGCAGCTCCAAAGGGAGCAAAGGTCCCTCGGGAGCCAGGGATTCCCCCGGGGGGCGGCTCCCGGCTCCCATTCCCGCCCTCCCTCCCCCCTCCGGGGCAGCTGCTCCGGGAGGAACGTCGGGAGCATCTGGGCAGACATCAAACGCGGAGGGCGAGGAGGCAGCGAGGCCGAGGGAGCCGCCGCGGAGGTTATGCCTATCAAGGGGACACAATTCCCACCCATTTATAACCCTGCGGAGGGAGGAGCAGGCGGGAGAAGGATAAAGCACCAGGCTTCACCTCTGGGGCTGCCGCTCCATCCATCCCGCTGCATTCCCAGCCGCTGGAGCGGGGCGGCTCCTGCCGCATCCCCATGGATGCTCTCCCAGGAGCAGCCCCTCATGCTTGGCTGGGAAGAGGCCCCTGCTCCTAATCCTCGTTCCCGCTGCAAAACGGGAGGGAATTCGGAAATCTCCTGTGCAGCAGCGGGACCAGCAAAAAATCTTTGTGCCAGTCTCAAGGCTGCGCTTTGACATGGCCAAAATGCAGGATTTCTCCCCAATTTGAAGCTAGATCTCCCCATAGGAATGGCTGGGAGTGCATCCTGGCCTTGCCAGGCACCCTGGGGGCAGATGCACACCCAGGGATGGGAACATCGGCACCCTGTCCCTCCCTGCCCCTTCCCAGTCCCATCTCCACCAGCAAAGACTCAAATCTTTCCTTGGAGCCTCCCAGGGCAGATTCCCGGTGATCCGGAGCTCCGCAGCTCCCGCTGGCCTTCCCGGAGCGCCCGGCTCCGCACGCTCCGTGCTGAGCAAACGCCTTGGAAACAACCAGCTCCGACCTGCTTCCTCGGAGCGCGAGGAGGCTCTTCCTCTTTCAGCCAATGTGTTTCCTATTAATAGCGGAGCGGAGTCTGGCGCAGGCCGAGGGCTCCGGAGGAGGCAGGATGTGCAGCCGGCCGGAGCCAAAGGCTCTCGGGTCGCTTCTCGACACGCTTCCACCCTGGGGAGGAAATCCTGCCCCGGGAAGATGGGTCAGGTTTGGGGCGGGAAAGCCCTCGCTCGGCACAGCCGGAGGAGCAGGGAACCGTGCGGAGCGGCCGGCCCTGCTCGGAGCAGCGTCCGTGCAGGATGGGAAGGAGGCAGGATGTGCAGCCGGCCGGAGCCAAAGGCTCTCGGGTCGCTTCTCGACACGCTTCCACCCTGGGGAGGAAATCCTGCCCCGGGAAGATGGGTCAGGTTTGGGGCGGGAAAGCCCTCGCTCGGCACAGCCGGAGGAGCAGGGAACCGTGCGGAGCGGCCGGCCCTGCTCGGAGCAGCGTCCGTGCAGGATGGGAACAGCAGAGGGGACCCGAGGGCAGGACCGCGTTGCCGGGGCCCTGCTCCGGCCGCGTTGCAGCGAGTTGTGACGGGCCCGGCTGCACCGCA